TGGGCAGCACTGGGTTGGGATGTTTTCTTGATGTGCACTTAACCTTTATATAAAACTCTCTCTTATACATGAGTTTCTGTGGATTTGTTTCTTTCAAGTACCTAGACTAACACAGGTACTGTTTGGTTTGGGGCTAATTTGGATTCCTTTGATTTCCTTTTGCTCTACCTCAGACTTCCACTGTAATTTTGAATGAAAGTGGTATAAAGGGGGGATTTTTGGTTTCCATTCACAAAGGGAAGGCTTTCAGTTTCTCTCATTGACACTAATATTGGCTGTTGACTTTTTATATGTGCCTTTAATTACGTTGAGAAATTTCTCTTCTATTCCTACTGTGCTGAGTGGTTTTTATTAGGGATACATGTTAGATTTCGTCAAACGATTTTCTGTGTTACTGGATATAATTGGGTGGGTCTTCTCATTAGTATTGTTTATGTCATGGATGATGTTGATTGATTTGCTAGTGTTGAACCAATCTTGCATACTTTCCTTGAATCCCACTTGACCAGGTTGTATTACACACACACACACACACACACACACACACATGCGCGCGTGCGCGCAGTGAGAGTTGTTAGTGTCTATTAACTAAGATTTAAGGGGAAAAAAATCTGTTTGTGTTAGGCTGGGTTGACTAGAGAAACAAATCCAGAGACACTCATGTATGTATAAGAAAGAGACTTTATATCAAAGAGTAATTGTATATTAAGAAAACATCCCAGCCCAGTCCAGATCAAGTCCAGAGTCCTATATGAGCCCATATGTCCAATACCAGTCCGTAAATCCCTCTTCCTACTCATGCAGTCACATGCAATGATGCAACATGCAGGAAGATCATAAGCAGGTGGGTGCAAAGTCTTGTGGATCCAGTGGTGGTGAAAGCATCTCAGCGCTGGTGCGGGTCTCCACAGGGCTCCTCCAGCGCCAGGTGTGGCTCTTCAACAGGAAAGGGAAGTAGAGAGAGAGGCCCTTGCAAATCTCAGTGTAGCTTCCCGACAGGAAGGCGAAGACGAGAGAGAGAGAGAGAGAGAGAGAGAGAGAGAGAGAGAGAGAGAGAGAGAGAGAAACGTCTCAGAATCCCATGAGAAGGCCATGCCTACAAAGGGGCAGGATCAGGCTGTGACCTGATTGGCAGGCTTGACTCCACCCTCCACTTATTTATCAAGTTGACATGAAATCATATAACTACCACACTGTTCGTGAGGACTGTTCTATAATTTTCTTTTATAGTGATGTCTTTCCTTGGTTTGGGTATTACACTTATGCTGGCTTCAGAAAATAAATATGGGGATTTTTCCATCCCTTTAAATAGTCTGGAAGAGTTTGAGTAGACTTCATATCGGCTGTTCCCTGAATGTTTGGAGTATATAATTACCAGTGAAACCATAGGGGCCAGGGCATCTTGTTGTTAGTTTTCCAATGACTCGATCAGTTTCTTATTTTGTTAGGGGTCTGTTCAAATCTTCTGCTTCAGTCCATGTCAGTTTAGGCAGCTGTTCCTCGAAATGTGTCCGTTTCATCTCTGTTTCCAGATGTGCTCGATTGCAGTTCTTCATAGTGCTGTTAGGATCCTTTGTATTTTAGTCGGTCCCGTTGTGATGCCCACTTAATTTCTTATTCGTGGTATTTGCATCTTCTTTTCTATTAGATTTTTTTTAGAAATCTTTTCAAAAAACAAATTTACAGCCTTATTGGTGTTTTCTATTATTTTCCCTGTGTCATTTATTTCTGCTCTAATCTTTATTCTAACGTAATCTTTTTTGCTTCTGGTGGATGCAGCGTATTTTGCTGCTCTTTTTTATAACAGGAATGTTAGCTTAAAGTGTTGACTTTGGCTATTTTTGGATGTGTTTATGTTTACTGTAAACTGTGCTCTAAGTATTGCTTTTGCCCTAAAGGTTTTGGTATGTTGTATTTTTGTTCTCATTGGATTTAGGATGGTTCTTATTGCATTCAAAATATTGTAGAATTATCAGTAATTTATAAGGAAAGATTTTTCAGGTACTATTTATTTGACTTTTCCCCTTGCTCTTCCTATTACAATTTTCTAATTTTATAGCTTTGTGAACCAAGAAGATAATGTGTAGTATTTCACAGTATTAAAATTTACTGTGTGGTCTTGTCTGGAGAATTTTCTATTAGGGGAAAGAATATATATGGTGCTGCATTTCCTGTACATCTCTGAAGTCAAGTTAGTTGATATAGTTTTTAATGGATCTTTGTTGAACGCCTTTAAAATGTTCTCCCCTTCATGAAAAGTGATGTGTTAGTCTTCTGTTATTATAGAGTTATCCAGTTCCCTGTTCAATTCTGTTAGAGTTTGATTTATGTCCATTGAGGTTGTTTTCATTTGCACATGGGTATTTGTTATATTTATGTCCTATTGTTCAGTTGACCCTTAAATCATTCTAAAATATCATTCCTTGTCCCTGATGCTGTTTTTTTCCTTAAAACCTATTTTATCAGAAATTAAATTGCTACTCCTGCTGTTATTTTGATTGCCATTTATTTGATGTGTATTTTTCCATTTTTAGAATGTTAGCATATTTTTTCTCTTTGGATCTAAGATGTGTCTCTTACAGACCAACTACTGATGGCCCTTTTCCCTACCCGTTCTGCCGGCTTCTATTGTGGGACAGGTGCATTTAGTCCATTCCCAGCGAATGGACTTCTCAGGAGGTGTGTGTCTGTTGCTGCCAGGTTGCTGTGGGTTTTTCCGTGGTGCTGTGGGTTTGTTCCACATAATATTCTGTGGCGAATTAATTTGGTTTATGGGCTTTTAATCATTTCCTTCACTGTTGTTGTTTTAGCATTTACTAAATTTTTATTGTATTCTCTAAAATTTTATGAGTCATTTTATCAATTTTCTTTTAGATTACTCTGAAACTTACTTTCTCCCCAAGTTTGAGGCAGTCTCTTCTATCTTGAAATTGGTTTGATTTTCATCTTCATTTGGTAATTTGATGACTGTACTAATTATTCTCTTGTAATTATCTTCATTTACAAATTTATTTCACTGGTTTTATTTTTAGTCTTGTTGATTTGTTCATTTTGAATACATCTAAATCTGGGCTGATTTCTGGGTGTTGGCTGCTTTTGTTGATCTTTCATTTATAGAACTCCCTTTATTATTTCTTGTGAGATTAGTTTTGTTTT